ATAAAATTACCTTAGGGTTTTAAGCATTTATTAAATCCACATTCATTTTTAATATTTAATATTGTTATTTCTGCAAGCAAGTCTTTGTATGAAGCACTTGGTAATTTACAAAGTGCTTTGAAAATACTCCCATTTTATTTCACAAAAGGGAACGAGAGCTGTAGGCTTTAACCGCATCCACTTTCATTGGATATGGTGATTTGTGGTATCATGATAATCTTTAGCTGCCCCTTAACCACAAACTCCAAGATAATACAATATAATTTTAGTGCATTTCTCCTCATCTGGAATGTTGGAGGTGCATTTTCAGTTTTAATAATAAATGCTAGAATGACCAAATTGCAGACTAATTGTTTCCATATTGTACTTAAATGAGTTTTTAAAAATGAATAACGTGACAATATACAATCAGTGTTATTTATTGTACCTCTGGGCCTCCTCTTCTAAAAGTTGTAGCTTCTCAAATTTTCTTTGTCAAGCTTGAACTAATGTAAATAATTGAAATAATGTAAAGTTATATTTTCATGTTTTTATAGATACAACATGACAAGAATACATAATGTAAGAGTATTTCAACTATGGATAATGTTGATTGGATAATGCACATCCAAGTTACAAGCAGTAATTATAGTTTAATATCCATGTAACGGTGCATCAATATATTGCTATATAAATATGTCTGTGTGCATATAAGTGAAAAGTGGTTAAACAAGAGTGATGACAGCTGTCTAAAGGTTTTTTTATTCATTTTATATAAAAACTGTTATGGAAAGACCAAAATGTTTATGAACTATTCTTATGTAAATTTACAACTGTCCTTTACTGTACTTTTTGTTTACAGTATAGTACCTTATTTTCTGCTGTGTTAAGTGGGTGTCAAACTCCAAGGAGACATACACTTTCTACAACTTCTATTGAAGATATTGGGATTTCCAATTTTTCATGTGTACTATGTCAGAAAATGCTTTTGATTTTATTTTTAAATCTAACATCGGATGGCTTTTTTTCGGAGTGTTGTAAAATCTTCAATCATACATAAACATGTTCTTACAAAAGGCAAAGATCTTTATTATTTTTTTATTTACTAGTTCCTCAAAATAATGATCAGAAGTCAAGAAGTGTATTTAAATTTATTCCCAAGCAAATTCAACTCTTCCTACTAAAAAGGTATATAAGTACACATTTCTTGTAGCAGCTCGGTACAAAAATAAGAGAACACATATAACTTCCTTTTAAATTAAAATGATTGATATTTTTGATATTCCAATCCTGCCATCATTCATGCTTTGGGCATGTGTGGAAATATGATGACTAGTGATACAATTTTAATTTATGGCAGATACACACTTGCTAAAATGTCATGTATTCCTCTCATCAGCCATTGCCCTGGTTGTTTTTCAGTTCAGTTGCAGTTAGACATATTAAAAGGAGAAAAGGTGATTTGCATTACAAATTCCACAAAATATAAGGACTCTAAGCTCATGTTTCAAAAAATAATTTCTCTAAAACTTTGCCCTTTTTGATTCAGGCTTCTTACAAAGGTGATTGTGTAATATGTATGCAGTTCTTTTAGGAATGTTCTAAAATTAAGACATTTCAGTTCTTCAAAATCACATATTAAAATTTCCTTTCTATAATTCAGTGGGGGGTTAATATGTTCAACTTTTAATGGATGAATATATCAATGCAGTAATTTTGACTTTCCCCTCTCAAATACTCTAAATATTTTGATAACACATCAAATTGTTGGTCATGATAACAAACTGAACAACTAAGAAAAACTGCACAAAATAATCTTACTGGCTGATAGTAATACAACTAGACACGAGTATTTTTAAATGACTAGCTAAAAATAATTGGAATACAAAACAATTTCCCCTGTTCTTTTTTTTCTGTTTCTTATCCCTTTATATATAGTTATTAAGTCTGATAAATTAAAAACAAAACAACAACTGAGGTATCACCATTGTGATATATATGTCAAGCTATTTAAGTGTGTTTTCGTGTGGATAGAACTTACTATACATTACACTTTTGAGATTAGTTTTTTATGAAAAATAAAGTGTAATTTAGGCTAATAACCCATATTTTCCAAATGAAACAAGTAGGTGCTTTGATTGAATTAGTTTTATTTAATTAGCTTCATGATATTGACATTATTAATTTTAGCTGGTAGTATATGGTTTGTTAATGTGTTATGAACTTTGGAGAGTTAAGTTACAAAAATTTTATGAATACTCAATAAGCTCATTAAAGGAAATAGAAGAGCGATGTAAATACCTGTTTAAAGGTAGGGTAAATCTATTTGTGGGTTTCTCATTCTTAAATTGACTTATTTTTGATTAGTAACATAAAAGTTGGGTAAGTATAAAGGAATTAAAATGACATTCTGAGTGAGATTTTGGGGATGTATTGTATGGTTTGTGAAAGTTGTATCAGATTTTTTTAAAAGGAAAGGTTAATTCTCTTAATGGTTTACTTTGGTTAGAATACAACGCTGAAATTCTATTAGGTACTAACCAATAAATCATATATATATATATATATATATAAAGTTTCTGTATTTTAAAGCAACCACATCTTATAGAGAACACATAACTACTCTTAGTATGTAATGTTTCAAACATATTTGTATAAACATGATGACATTCAGCACAGAGACTCATACTAATAACCTAAAATCTTATGAAAGGGGAAAGGGCCTAGAGTAAATCTGGATGTAACAATTTGTGTACATGTTTTTGTATCTTATCTCTATTCATTTCCTTCTTACTTTACCATTTTACATTTTCTTCCTGCTCTTAAGTACAACTGGCATTTTCCATATATTTCAATTGATATAAAGTTCTTCAGTTTCATTCATCTTGCTATTTTGCTTTAATCCCCATCTATTTCTGGCTTGTCTTTCCGAGAGATTTTTGATTTGAAGGTGCTTGGAATGTAGTTTTGTCAAACAGTACTGAGTTTCAGTGTCTTCTTAATAACAGCAATAAATGACTAAGAATTTCTCAAGTGAAATAAAAAAATTCCTGCTAAGCTTAATTTCTGCATCATTCACCTATTCTGATCCAATCATGGCAAATTTGCTCTCATTCTTTAAGTACTTAAAGAGCTCCACCATGTAGGAAATGGAAGTTTCTTTAATAAAGCAGGAAGAAAGAACTCTGTTTTAAATATGTTTGCTCATCAGATTTCATTTTTAAAGTCACTTTACTATGAATACAAGCCAATTATCTATTTTAATTCCCCTCTCAAGCACTTGTAGACTACTTTTTTTTCCCACTAGGTATAAGTCAGGTTTGCTATTTTAGAGCCAAATTCCTTTCCAGATATGCTTAAACTCACTGTTGCTTCATTGGATATGCCTGAATTCACAGAATGAATTTGGTCATTTTTCTTTCTTTTTTTTCCTTTCAGGTTAATGTGCCAATTTCATTTTATTGTAAATTGGAATGTGGGGGAGTGGATTAAGCACTTGGGAGGGAGTCAAAACCAGGATTCTAGCTTTATCTCTCACTTGTTTCACGCCTCCCTTTGTCTCTGTCTTCTCAACTGGAGCATGTGGATACTAGGACTGTCTCATGGGAATGAGGAAAAGAAATATTTACACATAATGCAACACTGTCTCTTCATTAAAAATCGGTTTCCAGAAATGAGTTCATGTATTACAGCGCTACTCGGTATAGAAAAACTTTTGGTATTTACTTCCAAATTTGCTTCATCATCACAAAACATTGGAAAAGCAATTGTATCCTAAACTTTAATTCATTCATTCCATCTAACATGTTAATTGAATGTATTTTGAATATATATAAACTGAATGTAAGGGCTACATTGTAAACCTCTTTTCTGAGGATTAAGTATTAAATTTTCTTTCAAGAGTGTAACCAATGATCCCATTCTCCTAGAAACAATGAGTTTATAGGTAGTTGGAACAATGAAGAGTTGAATTTTCTGTTCAACAACTCATTTCAAGTTGTTTAGAACAGAGATCCAATAACATTCACCAACAATTATCTTAAAGACAGTTTCACATTTTCCTCTCTCTATTAAAAATTCTGTAAATTGCTAGCCCATAAATTTAATTGGCTTCCAATCAATACTTTTCTCTCTAATGTCAAAGAATCAAATGAAATCTATTAACAAATAATACAGTGTGGTCATTCTAAATCATTCTTATTTGCATGCTTACATATATCTGGAATTCTTTTAAAACATTTAATTCAAATAACTTTCAACATATTTTTGGTCAGCAGCTAAAGAGCATCTTACAAAATTAAAACAAAAACAAAAAAATTATACACTTTAAAACCAGCTGGTCATTTCTCATGTATGACCCAGCCAATTGAGAATTTATTCATGAAAAATGGCTATAATAAATTTTATTTTTTTCACTTTTATTTAAGCAATTATATTAAGCCACAATGAAGGTCTTTTATTTCAATGGAAAAAGTTTGGAGGCATTTGTACTTTTGTTGGATTTCTTATACCAAAAATGTATTTTCCCTTTAGGAATTTGTGATTTAAAACCATTTTAAATTAAATGTCATCTACTATTAACTAGTAATGAAGTCCAAATTGGTAGGAATCAGAACAAAAAATCAATTTTTAATGAATTTATTCATATTCTGAATTTATTTTTATTTGGCTTCTTGTAATACAATCTAGAAGTTTTCCATGTAAAAATGATCTTATCTTACCAGCAGCTTATGATCAAGGATTTTGTGTTATGAAAAATCGTCTGCTTATTAAATTTTCAAACACTTGGATGTATTAAATTCATATCTAAAAACACATTTATGAAAATATTTACATATTCAAAAGGAAATTAGCCCACAATTTGCAAGATTCTTAAAATACTTATGAAGATAGACTTTTGTAGTACAATGAACTATATACTTTTGTTTGCCTATGCCTTTTCTCTCCCTCCCTCTCTCCCTTCACCCTTTTTTCCTGCATCCATTCCTCTTTTCCTTCTCTACTTCAGTCCCTCCCTAAATTAGACTCTATGTGGATTGTTATCTCAACAGAGCAAAGAACCGTTTTATTGAAGCCTAAGTCATGAATTACAATCACATGTAACAGCTAATTTTATGCTATTCCAATCATAGACAACTTATCAATCTTTACACATCTTTCTTGCAAATATGTGCCTTAGTTCTTAGCAAGGATTAATGTGGATAATCAGTATATAGCTATCATCTTTATTTGGGAATAACTTTTAATCAAATGCATTCTTAGAGTTATAACTATATTTAGTCTGTATGTTAAAAGCTTTTCAACTTTGTTCTATGTGCATTTTCTTGTCAGCTCTGTGTTAAAGAGAGAAACATGTCTTTATTCATTTTGTTGTTTGTGCTTTTGTGTGTGTGTATGTTCATGTGTGCATTAAAAATATTTCACATCCTCGGTAGCATTTATTCTGTTAATTATTTATAACATTGTTGACATGCCTTCTGAGATTTTAACTCAAAATACTGACTAAACTAGAGTAAATTACTATGGAGGTATGAAGGGTAATATTCAAGAGAAGTAATCAATGATTCAGGTAGGACACATAAAAGTCAAATTATGCTATGCTATATTTTTACTTAAAATATATTCTCAAAGTGTATGATTCTTTAAAATTGAACTCCAAGGCTTGTACTTTGTCATCAGTGATGACAGCATTGCCACACAACTAGGATATTTTGAGTCATAGTCACACTGTGCCTCATCTTAGTTTTTCTTCATTAAAACAAACAAAAAGCACCCAATGATGTATAGGAACTAAAATTATGCTTTAATATCTGGGAAGATTTTCTGCATATAGGAAAAAAGTACATAACCCCATGTATCTGAATAAGAGCTTCCAGCATCAAAAGATAATTAGTTATCAATATAACTTTAAAAGTGTTGTGATGGGCCCCAGGACAGCCACACTCTCAGGGCCACCGTGATAGATCAAGCCAGCTGGTGAGTCACTCACCAGTGAGAGTCTGCGAAGGACTAGACAGCATTCTAGCCAGGCTGGTTTCCTATTCCAGTCCTTTTATCCCCCTACCCTTCCTCAGTCAAGGTTGTTTTCATTCTCAGACAGACAAGCATATATTAGAAAAATAGGCAAGCTCTGTCAGGAAGAACACTTTGCTTTATCTTTACATTTCTTGATGACTTAAATATTGATGAGAAAAATATAATTATTCAATCTAACAACTGATAAAAAATACTAGGCCCACCTCTGCTTACTTAATGTCCTAAAAGCATTTGGGAGAAGATGGACTTATTAATACAAACCAAATTATCATAAGCTGCTTTTAGAAAGTAAGAAAGTTTGTAAACAAACTTTTGAAGAATTGTTAAGATTATAGATTGAGCATTATAATAATAATTAACATGTTTATAGAGTGAGTTTTTGCTCTATTTGCTTATAAAAGAGTTTTTGGATTTTAGTTTATATGAAACTTCATAGAGAATGAAGTATAACAATATGCAAATTTTGAAGCATTTTCATATTAGTTCCTTGGGTTTATATTCATTATTCACTCATCATTTTATTCCTATTACCATGTTGTCACTCCCAATAAAATGGCAAACAAAGCCAGAAAATGTTTTCGCAGGCATAAAATATAACAATTTATGCCTCACAATATGCATGATTTACTATTTTCACTTTCTCTCTTTCACCTTTGCTTTGATAATGTTCCTCACTCAATCATCCAGCCCTCATCACAGGCTTCCACCAGATGATTGTTTTGCTCTCTTATTTCTTTTCCTTCTTAATCAGGTTCTACAAAAATCATTTCTGTACATAATTTAATGAAAATTAGTAATCTCTCAAGTAGCTGTAAATATTTCCTTTCTTGTAACACCTAATCTGACCTCCCATACCTCATCAGAC